GTCCTCCCCCGTGTCCCTGGGGCCCACCGCAGGGCCTGGCCTGCAGTAGGTGCCCACAGGTCTTTCCAGACAGTCTGCAGGGAGGGATGGGGAGTGACAGCCCAGGGAGCTGGTGGAGGCGCTGGGGTGCCTCTGCTCTTCCTCTTCTTCCCCCAGTCTTTCCAGGGCTCTTTCTGGAAGGGAGCTGGCCCTCGCTCCCAGCCACTTGCCCTCCACAGATCTCTGACGGCCCCATCCCACCCCACCGGCCCTGGGCCACATCCTTCCTCCCAGCCCTGGCCTTGGACCACAGGCCCAGACATCGCACTTAGATGTGAAGGATCAGGCCACAGATGGGTCCTGTTCACAGGTAGGTGCGAGTGTCTGGAACATGGCTCATCCTTTTTTTTGAGACCACGTCTTCCCCAGATTCCAGGAACATCCTGACTTTTGAGAAAGTGCAGCACATCGGGGAGGGTGGGGGAGACGTCTAGGGGCAGACAGGGCCTCCCTGGGTCTCCTGCCAACGGTGTGCTCTGAGTTTTCTTCGCCTTGTGGAAACCACGGCCAGCAGCCGGGTAGGCTGGGCCCAACAGCACCTCGGGGCCGGGGGAAGGCTGGCCAGGTACGAGCTGGCCAGGGAGACTCTAGAATGAGAGGTCCCAGCCCGTGGAGGCCAGGCCTTTCCCCTAGGGTGCCCCTAGGGTGTCCTTGGTGTGCACATTGGGAAAATGTGGTGGCTTCCAGGGTGTGAAAACCAGCCACCCCTGCCTTATGCCTCAAACTCAGACCAAATGTCCACCCCCTCACCTGCCCAAGCCCATCTTTGGTCCCAAGGCCCCTGGTGCCTCCTGTACACTGACTTCCTCATTCCTGCCCAGACACCCCTCGTCAGGGACTGTGCTTCACCTCTTCTTTCTGGATGTCGGCTGTGCACCTACTGGGTGCCAGCGCACCTAGGGCTTGGGAGAACCAATGGGCAGGGCAGAGCCCCACCAGGCAGCCTACGTCCTGGCAGAAGAGGAACCCCGAGCCCTGTAAATATGCAAACGTGGCGGGGAGACGGGGCATTGGAGGCTGCGTGGGGCGGGGGCCAGCGTTCTCTCTGCTTTGCTGAGCTCCGCCTAGCCAGGCCCGCTGCCTTTGTTTTTGTTTCTCACGGGGCTGGGCCCCAGCTGCTTACATACGTGTACACCTATGTTTTCAATAAACTTAGTACTTTGCAAGTTTTAGATTTACAGAGCAGTTTCAGGCAGCAGCTTGTGTGCCCAGCACCCGGTTCTCCCATGGTCACACTGCATGCAATTTGTCACAACTAATGAGCCAACACTGATGCATTATTATATTTCTAATTTTTTATTGACGTATAGTTGATATACAGTGTGTTAGTTTCAGGTGTACAGACAGTGATTCAGTTATACATATGCATAAACACATATTTATTCTTTTTCAGATTCTTTTCCACGTTAGGCTATTACAAGATATTGAACACATTTCTCTGTGCTGGGCAACAGGTCCTTGTTTACCTGTTTGACATGGTGTGTATCTGTCAATAACAGACTCCTAATTTATATACCCCCCCCTTCCGCTTTGGTAACCATAAGATTTTTTTCTTTGTCTGTGAGGCTTTTTCTGTTTTTAAGTTCATTGGTCTCATTTTTTTAGACGCCACATGTAAGCATCATGATATTTGCCTTTCTCTGTCTCATTTACTTCACTTAGCATGACCACCCTAGGTGCACCCCTGCTGCTGCAGGTTAGGGTATTATTTCACTCTATTCTGTGGCTGAGTAACATTTCATTGTATATATGCACCACATCTCATTCTTTTTGTCCTCATATCATATTTATTTTTCTTAACTAAAGTATAGTCAATTTACAATGTTGTGTTAGTTTCTAGTGTACAACATAGTGATTCACTTGTATATATAAGTACGTGTATATATGTATATATATATTCCTTTTCATATTCTTTTTTGTTATAGGCTATTATAAGGTATTGAATATACTTCCCTGTGCTATACAGTAGGAACTTATCTATTTTATATACAGTAGTATGTATCTGCAAATCTTGAAGTCCCAGTTTATCCCTTCCCACTCCCTTTCCCCCAGGAGAGCGTAAGTGTGTTTTCTATATCTGTGAGTCTGTTTCTGTTTTGTAAATAAGTTCATTTGTCTCATTTTTTTAGATTCCACATATAAGTGATACCATACGGTCTTTTTCTTTCTCTTTCTGGCTGATTTCACTTAGCATGACGATCTCCAGGTCCACCCATGTCTCTTCTTTTAATGGCCGAGTAGTATTCCATTGTATAAAGACACCACAGCTTCTTTATCCAGTCCTCTGTTCGTGGGCATTTAGGTTTTTTCTGTGTTTTGACTGTTGTGTATAGTACTGCTGTGAACACTGGGGTGCATGTCTTTTTGAACTACAGTTTCCTCTGGATATATGCCCAGGAGTGGGATTCCTGGATCACACGGTAGCTCTATTTTTAGTTTTTTGAGGGCTCTCCAATACTATTTTCCATGATGGCTGCGCCAAACAGTGTAGGAGGGTTCCCTTTTCTCCATACCCCCTCCAGCATTTATCGTTTGTGGACTTTTTAATGGTGACCGTTCTGACCAGTGTGAAGTGGTAATTCATTGTAGTTTTGATTTGCATTTCTCTGATTATCAGCGATACTGAGCATTTTTCCCTGTACCTACTGGTGCTATTTGTATGTCTTCATTGGAGAAATGTTTGTTTAGGTCTTCTGCCCATTTTTTGATTGGGTTGTTTGTTTTTTTGTTACTGAGTTGTATGAGATGCTTGTATGTTCTGGAAATTAAGCCCTTATCAGTTGCTTTGTTTGCAAATATTTACTCCCATTCTGTAAGTTGTCTTTTTGTTTTGTTTATAGTTTCCTTTGCCGTGCAAATGCTTATCAATGTAATTAGGTCCCATTTGTTTGTTTTTGCTTTTGTTTCTATTGCCTCAGTATCAAGGAATGTTCTGCCTCTGTTCTCTTCTAGAAGGTTTATGGAATCTTGTTTTATATTTAATTATTTGAGCCGTTTTGAGTTTACTTTTGTGTATATTGTGAAGGAATATACCACGTCTTTATCCAGTGGTCTGTTGATGGACACTCAGGCTGCTTCCACGTCTTGGCTGTGAATAGCGCTGCTGTGAACACTGGAGTACATGCGTCTTTTCTAACTAGAGTTTTTGTCTTTTCTGGATTTATGCCCAGGAATGGGATTACTTGAACATATATAACTCTATTTTTAGTTTTTCAAGGAACCGCCGTACTATTCTCCATGATACCTTATTATTAAGTGAATTCCACCCATTATTCTGGTCTCACTAGTTTTTATCTGATGCCCCTTTTCTGTTGCAGAATCCCATCCTGGACACCATGTGACACTTAGCTGCTCCCTCTCCTTTGTTCCTCTGGGCCTTGACAGTTTCTCACATATTCTGTTTCCCATGACCATTTTAAGGAATGCTGGTATTTTGTCTGGGTCATGGGTTTGGGGAAAGCCCACGGACATGAAGGCCTTCTCATCACATTCTTTCAGGTCCACACTCATAACGTGGCTCCATCACTGCCGGTGAACCTGGTCCTCGGCTGTGACGTTCACTCTACCTCTTGTCTACACTGGGCTCTAGAAGCAGGTGGCCACGGGCTGCCCAGACGTCAGGGCTGGGAGTCATGGCGCCCCCGTGAACGGGATCTACATGAATTCTTCCAAGTTACTGACACTGGTGTGGTTTCATGGATATTGTACACACTGGATTGGGATCCAGTGCTGCTTGGTTAGTCAGATCGTCCCAGTCTGGGGCACTGGGGCTCTTTCAGTGGCTCCTGTCCTTTGCCCCTGGTTTGTTCTGAGGGCACTTCTTCCCTTTCTGTTGCTGCACCATACTCCAGACTCCCCCTGCAGCCCTTGTCCCAGCCCAGGAATAAGCTCTTCCGCAAGGAGCCTGTTTCCTTTTATTGGAAAATGGTATTAGAAACCAAACTCTGAGTGTGGGGGGTGCTTGCTGCTCCTGGGCGTCGTTGCTCCTCCGCCTTCTTTCCTGGACAGAGCTAGGAAACCAATGCGTGTACATTAGCCCGCGAAGACACACTGGCCATGCAGACATGTGGCCTGGTAGATGCATTAGTCTGTGTAGACGCACTACCCATGTAGATACACTACCCGTGTAGACGTGCTGCTCTGGAACCATTTCTTCATCCATCCATCAGTCTCTATATGAAGCAACCTCTTGAGGGCTGGGCACCAGAGGTCCCCCTCAGGCCACCCCCAGCCTGTTGAGCATCTGCCGCCCCCGTACCTCCTGCCCGTGCCCAGAGTGTCCCATGAATTGTCAAGAAGTGGCTCTGCATTTGTGATAGATGTTTCAACTATTGAAGTGTCTGAATCTTTTTGTTCTGTCCACCCATTTGTCTGCCCATCCACCCACCCACCCAGCCAGCCAGCCATCCACCCACCCATCCGTCCATCCTCCCATCCATCCATCCAGCAATCACTTGAATGCCCATTCTGTTCTTCATGCGCAAGAAAGATAGGCCCTGCTCCTTGGGGTTCAGTGCAGTAGGAAGATGGGCATTAAGAAAACAAGCACATGGTTCCGTGCTGTGATAAATACCATGAAGGAAGAGAGCAAACTGTGATGAGAGAAAGGGCAGTGGGGGCCTGACTTGGTCTCGGGTGGAGGAAGCAGGTGTCAGGGGACCCCCAAAGTATCAACCGTGAGTTAGAAGCAAACTGGGAAGGGCGGATGAGCCCAAATGCACACACACATGCTTCTAGGGTTTGCACAAGTGGAGCAGAGAAAGCTCTACAGGGAATGAACAGAGAGAAAGATGGCCACTTACTCGTTCTACAGATTTATTAGGCACCTACTGTGTGCCCCGCATGGAGACAGAAGCTGGAGAACAGAGCACTCTGCAGAGCGGGCAGCAAACAAGCATCCAGCACAGGGACCTGGATGAGGGGCTTGTGATGCCTGGTGAGGAGGGCTGCACGTTGAGGGGCTTCCTAAAGGTGGGGAGGGCTGGCCAGGCCAAGTGGGCCACCAGGGTGACGGTGAGAAGGCCCCCAGAAGGGGAGGAGCAGGCCCAGGTGCAGGCTGCAGACAGCTGCGGGCCGAAGAACGGCGGGGGCCTCTTGGGGGTGGCAGACGCCCGAGGCCAGAGTTGAGGTGGGCTGTACTCCAGGCGGTGGGAGACACTGCGGCCCGGAGCAGCGGCGCGACCAGGCCGAGCTGGGCGGCCTTTCCCTGTCCCACGTCCTGCCCTGACACAGCCTGTGGGCGCAGCGCTTCTCAGAGCCTTCAGGAAAGCCTCCACCCAACCCTCTGAATCAAGCACAACAGGATTGGGGGGGGGCCCTCCGGAAGGGTCCTTCATTGTCACTTCCCACAGGGCTGTGCCTAACGCCCCCTCCCAGCCCCACCCCCCACAGAGGCCGAGGGTGGCCCCAGACCAACATGGATGTCAAGGTGCTGGCACCCCCTCTCTGCACCCTAGCATCTTCCAGGACCATAAACCAAAGAGCCTCCCTCCGCCGCCCTTCCCGCCCCATTCAAGCACGTGCCTGCTTCCCCAGCCCAAAGGCAGCGCCGTCCACTGAGGGAGGGAACAGCCTCTGGACGTGGGCCGGTGGGGTCTTGGCGCAGGCTCGGGGCACGTGAGGGAGAACTCGGTCCCAGCTCTGCTGCGGCCTCACGCGTGACGTGGGCCTGACATTCCATCTTCCGAAGGCTTCTCTGAAAGGATGTCGCTGCCCTGACCTGTGCGCAGGTCAGCCGCCCCAGTTCTCGTCGAAGGCTGCAGATCAGAAAGGCGCTGGCAGCTCACCCCTAAGCAAAGCAGAAGGCGAGGCCTCCGTGGTCACAGGCATCACTGGGGCGGCCGCCTCACGCCCTGTCGCCTGTGCTCTGGCCACGTCCTACCTCGTGGCAGGCCTCCACAACAGGGCCACACGCACGACTGACCCTGGGGAGTCCAGGCTGGCAGGACCGGCCCTTCTGCCTTGACACAATCGCTGCGGCCTGAGGGAGAGAGAGAAAATCGACGAACCAGCCAGAGCTAGGAGAGGAGTCTGTGCGGCCAGGGTGGGAGGGGTGCCAGGGGCTCGGGTGGCTCTGACCCCCAGGGAGACCCCAGGCCCAGGCAGCCAGGCCCGGGGAGGGGGCGCAGGTCCGCACCCGCCTCCACCAAGGCCGCGGCCCTCGCTGGGCTTGTCACTACGCAGCAGCACAAGGTGTTCGCTCTACAGCTGCTCCGCTGCTCATTTTTTACTTTTATTTTTATTTTTCAAACAGATGGTCTGGAGTATCCTGCTTATCAACTGACATGGCCTGGCAGTAAGCTGGTACAGTAAATCCTTTTGTCTCGGGTGGCGATGGGCGGTGGGTGGCCACCATGAATTAATCAGACCATCTTAAAGAAGCCCAGTGGTGAATCCGAGGTAAGCTGTGACCAGGTATTTCTAAGAGGCACCTTGCTGGGCCTTTATTCAAAGCTGGACGTGACTCAGCCCTGACATTTGCAGATAACGCAATATCGAAGCCCTTCAGAACAGATAGGCTCTGGTGAAGGGCTGAAATCAGTCCTCGCCTCCCAGGACTTTGCTCTCAAATCTCCATTTGCTTAGCAAACGTTTCCCTCAGAAAGCAGGTTTAGACTCCCATCAAGAAGAGGCTGAAGCACTAAGATTTCAAAGCAAGGAGGTGGCATTAATGAGGCTTGATGGTACCACAAAAAGTAGCGTCAGAGCTTCAGAGGGGACGCAGCAGCTGAAGGTTCCAAGGGCACTTGGAAGCAGAAACGCTTGGGGTAGAGAGAAGGAGAAAAGGGGGAAAGGGTTAACAGGATAAACACCCCACACACACATACAAGACACCCCAAGGTCACGCTCGGATGGCTCTTCAACCTGGTGTCCCTCTTCCAATGGCCAAGACAGCCATCAGTGCAACTCAGATTGGTGGGCAATTTTTAGGCTGTTGTCTATTGTCGATTTAAGAGGAGCAGTCATGGATGTGAAAATGTGGCCCCTCTTCGGATGAAGGAGAGCAGGTTGTTAACGAAATGGGGTGGGTCGGGAGCTCCAAGGCCTTCTTCTGCGATGTGAGACAGGTCACCGGCCCAGAGCTGACTCCCTCAGGTCCCTCAGCCGGGCCAGGGCAGGACGCAGGAAGCAGGCTTAGAGGGGACTTCTGTGAAGCCTTCCCATTGGCAGAGGAGGGGGCCCGAGCGGCGGCGCCCCCGCTGACCCCGCAGAGCCGGGAGGGGGTGGGGAGCCTCGCCGTGGCTGGGACGACAGGGCTGGAGGGGAGCCTTGCACTGTCTCTGTACCCACCACACGGACAAGGAGCCCACATGGGTGATGTCACTCACCTGTGACCACGTGGCCAAGTCCAAGAGCAGGTCCAAGAGCTGTCCAGGCGGAGGGCCGTGGGAACCCTCGCCCCAGGGATTCTCCTGAGAAAGGGGCACCACCAGTGTCATTACTACAGCTGCGCCACCTAGTGGCGAGGGGCTGGGGCACTTTGTGCCATGGCTCGAGCCCCTGGGAGTGTCAATCACCCAAAAAAAGAGGCCTGGAGGGGCTCCAATGGGCACCTGGGGGTGTCCAGGAGACCCCTTCACGGTAGACCTGCAGTGAGCACCGGGCACCCACCCAGCCCGCCTGGCTGAGCCCCAGGGCCAGCTGCTTCTGCTGGGGGTTGAGTGGCTGGAGAGGTGGCTCCGGGCAGTGACCTCTCCCAAGGATCACTCTCCTCACTGGCCAAAAACCCCAGAAAACCCAGAACACCCTGTCAGGAGGATGGAGATGAGCGGCCCCTCCAGAAGGGCCAGTGGGAGGGAGGGTACTGCCGAGGTCAGGTCACCACGCACCCAGCGTCTGCACACAGCCTGCTGTCCCCACAGCTGGACACCCCGCCACCACTGCTGCCTCGCCCTGGGACTCGCAGGCTTTGGGCCAGGAGGAAGCAGTTCTGAGGACAGGCTGAGCCCCAAAGGGATGAGGAAGGGTCCAGAAGAACTGGGGTCCTCTTCTACACCATCAAGAATAAGGCCTCAGAGGGAAATCCTACCCTAGACAGGCCGCCTCAGGAGGCAGACCCCAGCCACTGCAGCCACGGCGGCACGTCAGTCACCTCTGACCCCTGTGACGCACCCATTAGCAGTGCTGCCAACCTCCCAAATCATCTCATCCTCTCCATCCACTGGGATCCAGCCAGGCCTCGCCTGAACCCACTGGGCCCTCCACTGCTCCTTCCTGCCTCCAACAATCTCTCCTCCACTGCAGCAGAGAAACTAGAAGACAGGGTTCAGGCACGGCTCAGACCCCGCACCGCTTCTGCCACCCCCTCCCCATCACTCCCTGCAGCCAGGCTGGCCTCCCGCTGTCCGACAGCCCTCAGTAGGCTCTTCCCACGGCAGGCTCCTGACTCAGCCCAAGCACCAGCTTGGACCCCTCCCTGGGGCCCCCACCCCCATCCACAGGCAGCACTCAGAGGCCGTGGTTTGGAAGGTGGGCTCTGGAGCTTGACCCACCACCTGAGTTCAAATCTGGACTCCACCACTTTCCAGCTGTGTGGCCTTGGGCAAATTGTTTGACCTCTCTGTGCCTCCGTTTCCCTGTGAGGTTACTGTATAGATTAAGTGAATTCATGTATTCACCTAGTGTCTGGGATAGGGCAGGTACCACGAGACAGATCACGTAAAGAAGGAGCAAACACATCAGGAAGAGGGCTTCTCTGTGCCAAGATGGAGTCTGGGGCCCATGGGAGAAGACTCAGTTCTTCAAAAGAGGAGGGAGTTCATGCAGGTGGCCCTGAAGGCCCGGCCACGGTCATGGCTCCTTCCCAGGGGCCGGACAAGCAACAGAGAAGTCCGAGTTGCAGAGGACGAGAAGGAGATTCTGCATAGGAACAGGAATTAACTCAAGGGCTGCCTGCTGCCAGTCAAGGGTCTCAAGGGCCCCTAGAGAATCCTCACCACAGACCCGCCTCCCCTCCCCTCCTTGTGCTGAGGGGCCATGCCCAAGTCTCCGACCTGCCCTGGCCTCCTTGGAGCCTTCCTAAGCCCCATCCAGGCATGGCTGAGAGGCCCAGAGAGGCCCAGAGAGGCTGGCGTTACCACAGTCATGGCCCTAACCCTGCTGCGTTTCTGTTCAGGCCACTAAGCGGCTGCAGGGGGAAAACTGGGCCACCCCGCTAGCCCTATGGGCCCGGCCAAGGCCTTGGTGAAGGCTGGCTGCCCCTTCCTGGTCCAGGAGCCCAGGTCTCCCAGACCAATGTCACAGCAAAGTCAAGGAGGCCCCGTCCAGCAGCTCAGACGCTAATTCCGATGGCCCTCGTTCCCTCTGAGATAAGAATAGCTGCGCTTGAGTGCCGGGACAGCGAGTGCCAGGCCCTGCCCAGGGGTGAGGGGCGGGCCAGGTGGCAGCGCGGTGGCAGCACGGT